AGAGCAAACTAAATTTCAAACTAAATTGTTAGCCCAGCCTCTTCGGTCGTGGGAATCCTATTCTACACCACTTTCTGAGAGTAATAGTTGCTTTATGACTTTTCCTTTTTTTTTAATCAGGATCTAAGAGAAGAAATACTACCATGGTAATAGACTCTGATTTTTCTTAATAGGCATTTCTTTTGCGGTGCTTACCCTTCAGGTTAGGACCGCAGTGAGTGTTGTGTCTGTTGTGGCAGCCAACTGCATAAACAGTTCGTTACTTGTCACTTAATTTGAATAGTACGCAGAGCATTATCATGGAAGTTGTGGATCAAGGTCCAGGCATAAAAAAGGTAACTCCTGTTTGTTTCCTCCAAAGCAGGAAGAAAGAACGGCCCTCACTGGGGGGAATCAGCCCAATATTGGAAACAAAATGAGTTAGCTAATCAGATCTCCAGGTGGTCAGGAGAAGTACTTGGCATGCCGGCAAAGCTCGCTTTGTGTTTCTCCCGAATTGAATTTATCGATTCCTTTTGCTTCTATCTCACAATCGTCTCATTCTCTCTCTACCACTCACTTCATTCTCCTGTCCCTCTTTAGTAAAACTCGGGGGCACCCAGGACCTGTGCCCCGTTTGGATTCCCCATGACCCTTTCCCTGGAAGCCTTCCTGCTTCCCAACCCAGCTTTCATAGGGCTTTTGAAGTGTTGGCGAGACACTGGGGAAGCTCGGCCAGAGACTGAATGGTATCCTTTATAGAAAAAGGAAACTATTTTTATTCTCTTTGTGACGATTGTTTAGCAATCCAGGGTGGCCACAGTTCCTCCTGACTATATAGCGACAGCCAATAGCCCACATGCCGCTGTAATTCAGAAACCAGTTGACAAGATTACTGTGTGACAGAACCATTGGAGGAACACAGTTAAGATCATTTTAGTAAGTGGAGTTGGCTCATGGTCTCTGGTCTCCGGGCCCTGCTCTGTCTGGCCGTGGGAGCTGCCGTGTCCCTTCCTGGGCAGCAGAAAGCAGAAGGAAAAGAGCAGCGTTGCTGCGAACCCGGGCCTCCTTTAGAAACTTCCCCAGCTGTCTGTAAAGGGGTTTCTGCAGGCCCCAAAAGCGAATGATGACCAAATGCAAGGAATTTCTTTCTATGCATTAAGATTAAGTCTTAACCATTCCATAAATGAAGGAAGCAATTCTTTATAACTTGCAGATATGCTCCCCTTTCTTGGGGGGATTTCCTGTGTTAATTTATGCGGTGTTAACTTTATGCAGTGTTGAAACTCAGCCCAACAGCAGCTGCTTACAGACCCATACAGTGATTATATAATAGGAGGGCCTATAAAGGTGGCCACATGTGGCAGACCCTGCCAGGCTGGGGATCCCTTCCCCCAGAGGCCCCGGGTCTGGGTGTTAGCAGGTTCACTGCAGAGGGTGATATAGTAACAACATGGAATGTTTTACCTATTCATCGTTTTAGAAATTCTACTTGACATTGTATTTGTTAATGTCTATGATGGAAGGGAGGTGTTTAGTACCACCTCTACCCTCCTTGGTGGCAACTGAAGGCAGTTTGACAATAATATGTGTGTGTAGACGAGTCTTAGAAGGCACAGGTTTGCCCCTCGTGTTCTTCACAGAATCACCCGTGAAGCGGCTGGACTTTAAAGCATGTATCATGGTATTTGGTGAGTGCGAGTACTTTTCTGTGTCTCCTGTTTACTCAGAAGTGTTCTTCTAGTGTCTGTGTCAGACTGGCCCATTGATCTCCACACCAGCTGGCGCTCACCTTGTCTCTCTCAAGGAGAGTCCGGCATTCTTATCACCACCTGAATTGGCTGAAAAATTGCCCTGTGTTTGGTTGGGGTTGCAGGGAGAAGAACAGTAAAAAGAACCCCAGATTCTAGAATAACACTGTTGTTTTAATTATATTGGGGTCACTGCTGATTATTTTGCAACAATTGAAAGAGAGTACATTGTGTTAAATTAAAAAAAAAAAAAAATTCCATGGCCAAGGCTTTATTAAAGGAAAGGGTTATTGAGCCAGATGCTAGCCAGAAGAGGACCGGGTCCTAGGTAACATGGTCCTCACCATCAGCAGCAGGCTGATGACGCGTGGTGTTTTGTGGGAGAAAGATGTGATTTGTTTTGAGACAATTTACATTGACTACTGAGAAGGCAGATGGAAAAAGATGAAGTGGAACAGTGCACAGTCTGTAAGAAGAAGAAGAGATACTTAGTACTTGTGGTTGGTTGTGGGCCACAGTCCCAGAAGTTCACGCACATGCAGGATGGGGTGACTGGTGGTGGCAACAGAAGTCAATTCGCAGCTGCACCCTGCACAGGAGTGTGAAAGTCTGCTGTGATTTAATTTAGAACAAATCAGAATTTTTCTCTTAATTATCATAGTGCCACCACTTTAACCATAAGATCTAAACTGTAGAGCGATGCACAGCCATGTAATCTTGACCAGGCAGACAACAGCATAAAGTTCCCATTGGCAAGTTGAAGAAAGCCGTGAGTATATAACCCCAAAAATGTAAAATAGCTTCACTCATAGAGTAATCGTTTCCATTAATAACTCAATGCCCATAGATGGGCTCTGTATAGATCGGCTTTATACTAATTTCCGTTTTGTATTAATAAATAATGTTGTGGAGAGGGTGTCTGTGTATCTAGAAATTATACTTTCCAATCCACATAGTTGGAGAGAGTTGCACAAAGATCAAGCCACAAGGAGGGATAAGGTGGATGAGGATAAATGAGATGCTATGATATGTGACATTGCCTGCTCTGATTTTTCATGGTAGGTGCTCAGTTTTTAATTTTCCCAACAAACACAGAGCTTCTCTGAATGGTGGGCTCGAGAGGAGCCTCACAGTCAGGTGTGGTTCCATAGCACCGACCTCTGCTGAGCAGTATTTGACCTGGTTTGCTTAGTCCTTCCTGTCTTCTCTAGATGCAGCTAGCTTTTTTGGTTTACTTCCTTCTTGACCCTGTCATTGTCTTGTTTTTTTGTGTTTTTTTTTTTAAACTTTTATTGTTGAAAGTACTACATATGTCTCCTTTTTTCCCCTCGTTGCCTTTCCTGACCATCCCTATGTGAGTTCTCTCCACACTAGCTTGCCTGCTTATATCTATTCTTCTTTTGTACCCCATGGGCATGGACTTCTTAGAAAGGTATAATCATTGAGACTTCAGTGTGAGCTTCAGGGGAGCCATCCTGTACTTCCGTGACCAACTTATTTATCCTTCCACTCTTTCTATTCTCCTTTATTTCAATCTTTTGTTTTCTTGACCTTAAATCTTTATCTCTAAAGACTTTGACCTCTTTTCCCAAGCCTACACTTCCTTCTAGACATTTTCATGAGATCATTCCAGACTCACAAACCCCAAACTTAAGTCATGTTCCTCATTTCCAAGGTGTCCCCTCTCACTGATGTCCCTGTTTTGGTCACACCACCAATCTCCCTGTCACTGAGGATCCACCACAACTTAGTTCTCACCACTTCTTTTTGTTCCGTGTTTTATGGCTCTGTTTCTCATCCCCACCCTTGTTTGGTTTCTAATCTGCCTCCTTCCTGGTCTTTGTTCCTCCAGACTCTCCTCTATTGGCTTCATTATGCTCAGGGTGTCAGGATAATCTTCACTCTGGGCCCCTCTTACATCTCTGCTATATCCTGAGCACCCACCCTTTCCTCTAGGCAGGCCTGTCTCTTTCCTCCAGCCTCCGTACAGACGGGCTTGTTCCCACCTCTGATTTTTTGCACTGCCTCCCAGCCTGGCCTGGCCTAGCCCTGCCTCTCTTTTTTCTACATTCTGTCTGTACTGCAGGATCATTGAATTGCCTCTTCTGATTGCTCAGCTACAGAGCTGGCCTCTCCTTGGCAAAACACTTTCCTGGAAGTATACACAGGAAACAGGAAGGAAAAAATTGCATTTGATTGTATATTCTTTTGTTCTTCTTGAATTTTATACTGTTTGTGTGTATTACTTATTCAGTAAAATAATTTTAGCGCATAATTAGCAAATATGTTTAAAAATCACAAGTAATTATTCTGTGTCACACCTTAGTTTTCTATGAGCATGTGTATTGATTTCCCCAAAGCACCTAAGTCATAGCACCTGGTAGGAGCTTCGTGATGGGCTGGATAGAAGAGATGTGGGAAGAAGGCATGAACAGATTAGAGGCAACCTTGAACCTGACCTAACTTCTTCTAATTGAGTAATTTCAAAACTAAAGGGAAAAATATCACTCTTGCCTTTTTTTAAGATTCTTACGAATCGAGGCTGTATACCTGGCTCCAACTGGTTATAGAGTTTTAATCTGATGATTAAGAATTCTTCCTGGCTAGGATTTATATATAGACAATTCTAAAGAGTCATAAAAACATACTAGAGCTAAATTCAATAAAGATGCAGGATGCAAAATTAACATTAAAAAAATCAGTAATGTTTTCTTCATATTAACAATAGTAGTCTGAATTAAAAAAAGAGAGAGATTGGTCACATTTATAATAGTAACAAAAAATAAAATACTGCCCGGCCGGCATGGCTCAGTGATTGAACATCGACCTATGAATTAGGAGTCACTGTTTGATCCCAGTCAAGGCACATACCCAGGTTTCGGCTCCATCCCCAGTGTGGGGTGTGCAGGAGGCAGCCAATCAGTGATTCTTCTCTCTCTCATCATTGATGTTTTTCTCTTGTTCTCTCTACCTCTTCTTTTCTCTCTGAAATAAATAAAAATATTTTAAAAATAAAAATTAATAAAAAAATAACAAAATCATAAAATACTTAGGAATAAACTTATTTTCACCAATAAAGTAAAAGATCTCTACTCTGAAAACTACAAGACATTGATGAAGGAAACCAAAGAAGACACAAATAAATGGAAAGCTGTCTTATGGATTGGGAGAATTAAATTTGTTAAATGCCAATACTTCCAAAAGCCATCTGTAGATTCAGTGCAATCCCTATCAGAATTCCAATGGTATACTTTTTTTTTTTTTTTACAGGAAAAAAAAAATCCTAAAATTTCCAAAGAACCACAAAAGACTCCCAATAGTCCAAGCAATCCTGAGAAAGAAAAATAAGGTAGGAGACATTACACTGTCTGATTTTAAGCTCTCCCACAAAGTTATAGTAAGCAAACAGTGTGGTAGTGGCATAAAAACAGACAAGTAAACCGGTGGGACAGAATTGAGATCCCAGAAATAAACCCAGCATGGTCAATTAATATTTCACATTGGAGCCAAGAATACTCAATGGAGAAAAGACAGTCTCTTCAATAAATGACGCTGTGGAAATTGGATATTCACAGATAAAAGAATAAAACTTGACTCCTCTCTTACACTACATATAAAAATTAACTGAAGTGGATTAAAGAATCAAATGTAAGTCCTGAAAGCATGATACTCCTAGAAGGAAACATAAGGGAAAAGGTCCTTTATGTGGGTCTTAGTAATGATTTTTTGGGAATCACACCTAAAACACAAGCAACATAATAAAAAACATATTAAGTGGGACTATATAAATCTGAAAAGCTTCTGTATAGCAAAAGAGACCATCAAGAAAATAAAAAGACAGCATATGAAATAGGGAACCATATATCTGATAAGTAGTTAATATTCAAAGTAAATAAAGAACCCATACTACTCACTAGCAAAAAATAAATAAATAAATAAATAAATAAATAAATAAAAATTAATAAATGGGCAAAAGACCTACACAGACAGTTTTCTAAAAAAGATGTATGAAAGATGCTCAACATCGCTAGTCGATAGGGAATTATAACAAATGCTGACAAATATGTGATGAAGAGGAAACCCTTGTGCACTGTTGGTGGGAATGTAAATTGGCTCAGACATTATGAAAAATAGTATGAAGATTTCTCAAAAAATTAAAAATAGAACTACCATATGATCCAGCAATTTCACTTCTAGGTATATATCCAAAGAAAAGGAAAACACTTGAGAAGAAGTCTGCACTTCATGCTCATAGCTGCATCATTCAGAGTGGCCACGGCATGGACACAACCTTGGCGTTCATTGATGGAAGAATGGATAGAGAAGTTGTGATAATGTACAGTAGCATAACATTTAGCCATAAACACACACTCCTAGAAAATCCTACCATTTGTGAGAACAAGGATGGACCTTGAAGGCATTAGGCTAAGTGAAATAAGTAAGAGAAATACAGATCCCATGATATCACTCACATGTAGACTTCCAGTGATGTAACGTACAACATGGACACGACAGGGAACCCTGCTGCATGTGGGAAAGCTGTTGAGAGAGTTCTCGTTACAAGGAGGAATTTTGTTGTTTTCATTTTATTGTATCTCAGAAATGATGGATGTTAGCTAAACCTGTTGTGGTGATCGTTTCACGGAGTATATAAATCAAACTAGTGTGCTGTGCACCTTAAACCTTATGCAGTGATGTACGCCAATGACTCCTCACCTGCAAAAATAAGTAGCTAAATAGATGGTAGGGGATGTTTCTGTAACATTTCAGGAACAGATACCTGGGTAGCTTTGCCCAGCATCATAAGCTCCAGAGCATGTGCGTCCTGCCTGCAGTGGGCAGAGGTTCTCTGTTGGGGAGAGAATCCTGTCTTCAGCTGAGAGAGTTCCCCAGAACTCTTGAGGTTTAATCTCTGCCCCACCCCCACCTCCAGCCCAGTCCCTGTGGCCACCAGAGATGCTTTCATACATTTCAAATGGTAGGGGCAATGAGATGGCACATGCACTTCCCCGCCTGCCTCATGGTCCAGGCGGGGAAGTGCATGTGCCATGGTTGTTGCCCCCCTCAGGGTTCAGCTGAATGTGGGCAGGGAGCAGTCATTTGGAGACTACACATGGCTCAGCAGTGGCGCCCACTAAAGGCAGTGATATTTTGAGACCAGGAGGCGTATGCCTTGCTTTGTGCGTTTTTGAAGTCTTTCTTTGGGAAACAGTACAAATGGTGCTAAGTCCTTGCTGCCGTTTTCTGGTCCCTCCTTCTAGGGGTAAAACTTACATCTTCTCTTTCTCTTGCAGAGCATGATTGAGAAGGGAGGATAAAAGCCACTTTCAGAAGAAGCAAAACTCCATCAACGTTGATTCCAGAGGTGGGGCATATTTTTTCCTTGTAAGAAAGTAACCTGTTTAGAGAAAAGCCGATGAAGAGAAGCACTGGGAGCAGAGTGAACAGAAGCGCATCACAGTTACTCAACAACATTGGAAAGCCGCGGCCTAGCTAGACCGGGGATCAGTCACAAAGGACCGCAGTGTTAGTAACCCGGCTGTGATGACAACGAGAGGGCAACCCTTTCTACCTTTTGTACTTTCTGTCCAACTTTCTCTTCTGACCAAGCTCCATCACTTGGTGAACCTCCACTCTGGCAAAGCTTGGGGTGGGGGTGGGGGGACAAGGATAGGAGATGGGAGTGGGGAGGATGCTTCCATCCAGGCTCTCTGTGCTGGCAGAGTATCCTGACTACATGTTGGGCTTCTGCTTCCTTTCTCCCTTGACTATATAAGAGCTGTTTCATTTTAACTTACGACGATCATGTAAAGAAGACAAAAAGGAGAGAAAATGTCCCTCTTCTACTGGAATAATGTTTATGATTAAAGTGAAATAAGGCATTTTTTATCAACATAAAGGCAACCTTGGCTTATACAACTGCTTCTCTATCATGAATACTGACACCTGACTTCACTCACTATCAATAATAAATTTATTTTCTGACAAAGACTGGCATTGCAGCCCGGGCCTCGTGTGCTTCTTTCCAGGGGTTGGATGGTTATGCTTATGGGAACTGAGTTGATTTATATGGTTATTAGTTTCCATGTGTGCTGTACCTTTCTTCCGAAAGCTGCAGAGCCCCAGCCACCAAGCACTCCTCAGGACTTGACCCGTGGTAGGCAGGTGGGTAGGTAAGTAGGTAGTTAGGTAAGTAGATAGTTAAGTAGGTAGGTAGGTAGGATGCAGTAAGAGCTTTCCAACCTGCATGGACCTCCTCCCTGTGGGATGACCTAAGCCATCCTGCATGTGGTAAGAACGAGCTTAGCCAACCTTGGTTACAAACTTCTGACCCTGAGATCCATGAAAATGTTATTTTTAAAAAGTCAACCAACCTTGAGTGTTTTCCCACTTTCCAGTTTCATTAAAGCTTTCTAATTATATCTCCCTTTTTTAACAAGGGATTGGTACTTCAAGCCTGGATTTTGATGAGCTGGAAATTAGTATTCACACTGAAGCTAAGTGGAAAGGTCTTTCCAGGAATAGATGGAGGAGAAAATGCCAAGGCTCCGTGATGTCATCTAAATATCTTCTGTTGTGTAGAATTTCTATTGCAGAGAGAAGTACTTCAGCAAAATAACTAAGAATACAGGCTCTGGAGTAGGTGCATCTGTGCTCACATTGTGACTCCGCCCTCCTCCCCCGTGGGACCTAGTGATCAAACCCCTCACGATCCTGAGCCCCTGATTTCTCAGCTGCTGGGGGTGGGGGCGGAAGAACCTGTGTAGACATACATTTGCTTGGGTCTGGTACATGTTGGTTTGTGTGATTATTCAGTAAACTGGAGTTTTGAGTTGGTGCTGTGGGAATAAGATCCACACGCCTAGATATCTTTTACTTCGAGATGAACTTATGTTGGGAAAATTTCAGCCATCCTCTAGAAACAAAAGTGTGGCCTTTTTTATCTAAATCCTGAGTTGGCTCCATTCGAAGACATCTCTGTGGATCTGATGCTGATTCTGACTATCACTCTCCCGCTGCACTTACCCTGAGGCTCTGTGATTTCTGCTCAATGAAAGCTTTTGCTTTGTGTGTTTTTATGGTACAAAATAAACCGATTTGTTTAAGAGTGAAGGAAGGAGCACTGGTTGCTGGAGAAGCAGCACATCGGGGCCCTGTCAGGATGGCAGCCAGGTAACTGCCTGGGAGAGAGAATAGGTACAGAAACAAGTGTTTACAAGGTGACTTGCAAATCAGTGTTTGCAAATCGGCTGACAGATTCCCTGCTTTGTTTTGCAATTTAGAGTGAAGAACCTGGCACATCCCAGGCTGCCAGTCTTGTCACTGGCAGAGAAAGGCAGCACTTGAAGAGCCAGGCATTAAAGCTGGTGAAATCCATGAGAATGGAAGGTCAGGACATCTCCCTCCCAGCACAGGTGCTTAATATATCATCCTGATACACAGGATGGGTGCGAGGGAGAAAGACGGCACTCGGGAGGAAATAAAAGGGTGAGACGATGCCTTTAGGCACCTGGCTGTTGATAGCCTCACAATTCTGTCCAGGTTACTGTTAACTTCAGGACAACTGCTTGGGAGCAATGTTGTGCTTTTGAGTCTCGCGGGAGTTACACATTCCAGTCAGTTTCTCCATGAAGGAGAACGCACCTTGAACCGCAGGACAGCTCATGAAGCCAAGAAAAGTCAAGTAACTTGAAAGCTGACCAGATGTTATCACACTAAACAAATGTCTGGTGAAAGAGAAGAAAGCTGGGTGGAACCAGCACAAATTCCTCTCTCTGAAAAGCTAATAACTTGTTACAGAAAACTTACCGATGTGATGGTTTAGAAAATTACTGACTAATCCTTATTAGTAGCAGATGTGGACTGCTCACAGCCAAATGCTGCGGCTTGCTAGTCTACCAATGAGACCCCTCTACAGCAGCTGTACGCAGTATTTTGCTTAGAACTGAACGATCGACCAGATGTCCTCATCACGTCTGCCTTAGGAGTTGGGAACCTGTGGTTCTTAGCTTGATATCTTTCAGCCCACAGGTATAATTGCTTTTGCCAGAAACCCACAGGATAATTCTCTCTCCCCCATTTCAGCCATTAAGAGCTGACTCAAGATTTAAGACTAAGAGCCATTGAACAATTGAAAGGGTAGCAGTAGCTTAATAGGATTATTCTGTTCTGAGTTAATATACTTGAAAGGCTACTGCTTTGAATGAATGAGTTTATATGTGTTCATTCATTCTCTGTCTCTGCTCCCCTATGCCCCCAAGTTTTCATCTGTTTCTTCGCCTCCCATCTATATCTCCTCCTCTAGCCTCTCTGTAGTGAATTGAGACCTTTCTCACCTTTCTCTGCCTTCCAAGGCTCCTTCCTGAGAGGTAACATGGGAGTGCAAAGGCCTTTATCTTAGGGAAGGAGATAAAGTCTCTTGAGCTCTGGTTCTGGTTCTGTTTGCTGCTGTTGCCTTGGGATGAGTCCCTTCCCCACAGGGTCCTAACTGCCTGGGGGCTGCCCTGGGTCTCCATTATGACAAATGACTTTGGGTACTTTCTTTCCTTACCAGCCTCCTAAGTTGTAAACTAGTCATCTATTGAGAACTTATCTTTATTATTTTACAGTTCCTAACTTACAAACCAGGTATATGGAGTTGTGTTTTTTTTTTTGTTTGTTTTTTTAATTTTCTGGGGAAAATAAGTAAGTTTGTTTTTAGTTCTCAGCAGCCTTTGAGTGTGTTTTCCTATAGTTTGTGATCTTCATTTGAAAAAATATATATATATGGTTTCCTGTCACTTGCCCCAGGGATCCATTCTGAAATGTCTTCCTAGGACATGTAGCCGGTCATGCCAATGGGACTACAATCCAAACCACCCCGCATAGAAGCCCACGGTGCTGCTGCTGGTACCTGCGGCGTCTGGACAGTGCATATGCTGGTTAACTTACGCCCGCGCTTATTTTTAAATTTATTGTAGACATTCGTTTTAGCCTCTCCCACTGGGGCCCTTAAAAGAATGCAAAGTGTTGTAGGTGCCAGTTTTTTAACCTCCTCCTTCCCTTGACCCACTTAATGTCAGAGGTGCCAACAGCGACAGTAAAGGGGATTTAAGGGAGGGAAGATGGGTTACTATCCATGAGTGGAACACTGGCTCTTGGAGACCAAGGCCGTGTGGAGAGAAAGGCTGGGCATTATTCCCATAAACTTCTTTTCATTTTCCATCCTCTGTCATTTCGAATCCACTGGAACATGAAGAAGAGAGTCCTTTTTAATTATCCCAATTTAGGCGATTAGAGCTATATCATTTTATCATCATCCCAGCCTGCTCACCACCCAGGGAGGTGGGGTAGCCAGTGATTTTTCGGGCGGTGAAGTGGGAAACTGAGGACCTCCCTTGTGTACCAAAGAGATTGAGTCCTGCCCGACCCGCCTCAGGAGCCCAGCTGTGCTGCCCAGCTGTGCCGCTCTCCGGCATTCCCAGGGAAATGCTAGCTTGAATGGATAAGCACTACAGGCAAAGTAGACATGTTTCCCCACATCCAGCACGAGGGCCACCTTGCTCATCTGACAGGGTCCCTTGCACTAAGAATTTTGGCCAAAGTATCAGATAGCTTCAGGAAGTTGCAATTAATTACATTATCTTCCAAAACCCAAAGTAATGGGCACCAACCACCTAATTCATTCTACATCCAGGTGATGCTTTGAAGATCATGATATTTCATATTTTATGTCATGCACGTGTGTGTGCGCTCTCGCTCGCGCGCGCGCTCTCTCTCTCTCTCTCTCTCTCTCTCTCTCTCTCTCTCTCTCTCTCTCTCTCTCTCTCTCTCCTGGTGCCTCTGGCCTCAATGTTGCTGGCAGACCCCTGAAAAAAGAGTTGAATTGCTTTAGGGGAGACCAGAAAAGTCACCACCCAACTAAAAAACGTCTTCTAAAACTTCTACTTTTCCTGTGAGTTTTCTTGAACCTTCCAAATAGACCCCCAGCCTTCTGCAGACCATGATAATATGCCCTATGTTTTAGGGGACAGTCCCGTGTTAAACCCAGTTTGGATTCAGAAAACATGGTTACCTTTCAGTTAAGAAAATTTAAAACTGAAACTATCAAGTTCATTCCCTGAAACTCCCTCAAACCATGTCAACTCTACCTGAAACGCAGCTACACCTCAATTTAATGCAATGCTTCAAGCCTCCGAAGTGGGTTTGATTAGGTGAGGCCTCCATACACTTCAAAGATTTTCCCAGGCAGCGAAGCTGGGCTTCCCTCACCGCTGGTCCCCTCTGCCTCCCTGAGAGGGTCCTTACTGGGCTATGGTCACTGTCACTTTGCTGTGAGGCCAGCCTGCTTTGAATGCATTTCCATAATGGCTTTTAAGTGCAAATGTGGAGGCCCCAGAGGTCACATGTCAGGACACTGAGTGCCACTATATTCCAGCTGCCTTTCCTTTCTGGACTTCCTCAGGCACAGGTAGGTGCCACCTGGGCTGGAAGGTGGACCATTTTGGAGGGAGCCTCCTGCAGCCCTTCTCTGTGGGGCGGTCCATTGGCCAGGCTGCTGTTAGGCCCTCATGGATGCCCACAGCGTGGTTGAAAGCCTGTGCTCATTCACTCTCTCCCCATCCCTGCCAGGTATTTAAAACGGGCTGAGGACCAGATAACTAGGGCCAACTGCTCATTATCTGCTGCCTGTGTGCCCAAGAGGCAAGGGTAGAACCATTTCCATTTCATCGCCACAGGCCAGGTTCCTCAGCATCAGGCTGCAGATTCTAGCTTTGGAACTCCCTAAGGCAGTAGTCGGCAAACTCATTAGTCAGCAGAGCCAAATATCAACAGTACAACAATTGAAATTTCTTTTGAGAGCCAAATTTTTTAAACTTCTTCTAACGCCACTTCTTCAAAATAGACTCGCCCAGGCCATGGTATTTTGTGTAAGAGCTACACTCAAGGGGCCAAAGAGCCTCATGTGGCTCGTGAGCTGCAGTTTGTCAACCACGGCCCTACGGCAGTGGTTCTCAACTTT